TATGAAAGTACTGTTCTATCGATATATTACAAACAAAAAATAACGAGGGAACCTGCATTATTTTCACAGGATCATGTCTCCCAGAGTCCTTGCATTGTGAAAATCACTTCTGAAGTGCACAGCTGTGCTTCAGTAATGAGACAGCTTGAGCCCCACAGCTTGCTTCATTGGCTTACAGAACACAAGTTACTTGGCAAATATGAAGCCTCAGGGTTTCTATTCTGCTTTAAGGAGGTTGTTGGGAATCTCTCAAAGAAAAGCAGATTTGGCCTTACAGTTTTCAGTCTTCTAGGGAAAATACTGAAGAAGGAGGCACACCGATAGAAACAATACATGTCATGAGGGATGGACATAATGGCATGAGCAGCTTTACACTTGGGGCAGTGCAGAATGACAGGGGCTCACCAGAGCTGGAGCATTCAGCTATTTGTGATGTGCCAGCAGTGGGCTGGGCATGGCTGGAGCTCCTGCAGAGCTTGCAATACAGCTGTGACAGGGGGATTGTCCTCCAAGCCTCTGGGAAAGGAGCACTAGGAAAGAGCAGCCAGCCTGGTAGAGCAGTGGTTCCAAGCCAGCAGCTTGTGAGAAACCTAAGAGCTGCTCAAAGCTACAAGAAAGTAAAAAAAAAAAAAATGGAAGCTGCCAGGACAAAATATTTTATCCCTGGCAAAGCCTTAATTATTTAGTGGTTTTGCTGGTGGCTGATGATGCAGCAATCAAGAGCAAGCCATAAGTAAAAAATTGCATTGAACATGGTGTGAACTCGGGGTTCATTAGCATCATGTAGGAAATGTTGATTAAGTTCTGTGCACAAGGCAAGGAACATAAAAGCAAATATTGAGGTAACATACAGTGAGTGTCACAAGCTGTTGTGCTTAGGCCAGGCACAATGGGCACCAGGTGGGGGAGACATGAAACTCCTTCCAAACAAAAAGAGAAAGCAAGGCTGCCCTGGAATAAGGACACTTTCTTCTGCACCGGTAAGACTTAGAGGGTTTATGTGTACTTTTTCAACCATTAACATACTGAATTCACCTGAATTAATTCATTTGAACATGGGAACAGATTTGCTTTGCTGTACATCAGGCTTATTTGTAGCACTGCTTTTTCCTGTGCAGTCTGGGAGCTGCTGCAGAGATGCTGTTGGTTCAGCAGCTGTTACTACAGAGGAGCAGCTCTGCAGCCTCTCATCCCAGCTCTGGCACGAGACAAACGCAGGCCAACAACAGCGGTGTTGCAGTGCAAGAGAAGCATTTTGCACTTTGTCTCAAGTGCTTAGTTAAAGGTCATCCATCCAAAACAAATTTGGATATTCTCTAGCCTTTCATGGTATCTCTTGTCTCCCAATACACTTTGAAGTCATCTGTGATATTTCCAGATGTATCTGTGAAGAATGCTGGTGTTCATGAACTGACAGGTGATCTTTTTCTGCTGAACTTAGTAGTGAGCTGTTCTCACTGCAGGTTGTTTCTTGTTGTTTTGGGGAGGTGGGTTTGTTTGTTTGGTTTTATTTAGTTTTGTTGTTGTTGTTGTTGCTGTGACCAGGTCATCATTGCCAAGATAAAATACTCTGGCTTTTATTTATAGAACAGAAATTTTTACACTACTGATAATGGAGTGATCTGAACCCAGGGGTCTTGAAAGTAGGTCATTAAGTACTCAGTATAAGAAAAAGTGTGTTTTACAGTGTTCATTATTTTACTGGAGAAAGCTGTCTTATCTGAATCTTGGCTTTTAAATCAAGAGACTTCTATAAGCAAAAAAAAAATTATTTTATTTCATCACAAAGAAAATAATTATATCTGAGAATAACATATTTTGTATCAGGAACAACATTTTTCAATTTATTCCTCTCAAGCACTTGAGGATTAAAGTGTCTGAAAATAACATTCTTCGATCACTGGACGTAGATTTTAAAGTCAATAACAGAGCAAATTACCTCAAATTGGAAAATACAGAAACAACCATGGCATTGTTTTTTGTTTCATTAACCAAATCAGGCATTAACCAAATAGAGCAGCAGCACTTCTGGGCTAGTCTCTGGAAGTGGGAGTTGCCAGGAGTCAGTTTGGCCTTGTAGCTGTGCCAAGCTACACTTACTCGTGGGCACAAAGGTGCTGTTATGGGGTTTATCCCATGACAGAGTTCCTCTGCTGCCTTCATTCCCTTGGGATAGCCCACCTATCCTTGAAAAGCACCAGCTGGTTTGCCATCTTCTGGGGCTCTACACTGTGGCCTTGTTGTACTGTGACCTCTGTTCTCCCTCTCTCCATGACTGGAACCGAGAGGTGATTTGGGCAGTTTTTTCGGACAGTACTTGGCTCATGTGGTGTGCAAGTGCCTGACCTGTGTTGTAGCAGTAGCCATGTGCTCTGCCCTGTCACAAAGGTGCTGTCCATGGAGTTGAGGTACACATGAACTGTGGCTGCTTATTAACAATGGGTACAATTCAATGTCAGCATCTTTTACATGCATGGTATTTTATACTTCAAAGTAATTAACAAAATGCTATAAAACCTGCCTACCTCTCACCCTGTTCCTTTTGAAGCAAGGCTCCTGAAATATAATTATATTTCATGGGGTTTGCTTTCTTTTCACTTTGCTTTTTTTTCCCCAAAATATCACTGTAATAATTACTGTAACAGCATTTTCTGTGGAGTTAATGTTCTTCTGGCTTAATGGCCCCTGGTTATTCTCAGGCCATCAACTTTTTCCAGCTGGTCATCAATCCCAAAGAACTGCCTTGTGCTTCCATTATTATTGCTTAAGTAGATGACATTTCTGGTGCTGCTGCTGCCTCCCAGTGAGATGATATTACAGCCAATGGCATTTTCCCCCCTTGCTTTCACTGTTGTCAAAACATTATAAACAGCTGGTGTGAGAATGTTGTGGCTGTTCCCTGTGAATTCCTCTGATAATTTTTAGGTGCGAGTTTTGTAGACTTCAGCTGAAAGAATCTGAGTGAGGCAACTGAAAATTACTTGCCTAGAGCAGCTACAAGGGCTCAGCCCCCATGCATCATTCAGGAAGTGGCTAGGCAATACCTGACTGTTTCAGTCTAAAGACTTTTTCCCAGAAGGAACATGTTTCAAATAAGATCTGGGATAGATGTTCTGGGGGATGTTAATGTTCATTAGGTAGCCTCAGTCCCCTCCCCAAGTTTCCACAGCTCTGCTGGTGGCTGCCCTTGTTTCCTAAGGATTGATTGATCTGTGGCAGGCTTTTTTAAAAGAAACAAGGAAGTTGTAGCTCAGTAGGACAGAAACCTGCAGAGATTGTTTAGGTGAAAATGCCTTGCTATGTGGATATTCAAACCTGTGTGAGTTAACATTGGTGCTGACTACATTTCCTTTAACCTCATTAGCACCTTGTCTTGCTTTTCCAAGCATGGTGGTGGAGCAGCTAGTTCACCTTAGAGCCTTTCACTAGGTAATTCATCAAAGTGGCAGATGAAAGCTTAAAGGAAAATGCATGTAAATACTGCATTAGGAACCTTGGCTCACAAAGGCATGAACATTTTCACTCATACCATTAGCTCTGGATTATAGTCCACAGATGTGAAAGGGACTCTGTTTATTGGGGGAGATGGATATACAAGGCTTACTGGTTGAATCACTGTGCAGATTGTCTACTTCTTATTTTTTTCTTTAATTAAAACGCATTAAGCATTCATGAACTAGTCTCATAGTAAAAAAAGAATCTCAGACTGTAACTGTAACCACTTAATGCCTTCAAAATTAAAACCAAATTACTACAATAAAACACTCCCATGAAGTACTCAAGGCCAAAGCATTTTCAAACAGGGGCCTGAGACTGTGTCAAACCTACATCATGCATCTTTAGAGTTTTATGCTGTGCCTCACTGCAGATTGATGTAGTCATTGGATTCCTGTATATGTGTAGATCAGAATGATCAAGCAACTGCAGTTCAGTCTCTGTGCCAGGGGTTTATCTGATGGGGTTTTTTTGTTGGGCTGGTTTGTTTTTTTTTCAGGGGATGGGTAGGCATTGTTGTTTGTTTGGTTTTTTGTCATTGTTTGTTGTTTTTCAAATACACTAAGATACACACCAAGTGCAAGATAGTATATCCTGGAGGGCTACCAAGGCACACCCTCAAACAGTCTTTATTTACCTCCCAGTTTATTGTGTTCTTGTTAGAAAGTAGCACTTTGGGAATATTGTTAACCCTTGCTCCTTTTAGTTCTCATGCTGAGCATTAGATAGTGACATACTCCTCTATAATTGATACCTGTGGTGGTGGCATATTTCAGTAACATGATTTATCATCCATTTGCATTTTCATGAAGCTTGTTTTACTCTTCTGCTTCCATTAGGTCAGCACTCACTGAACAGGCAGCTCCCATTCCATTTTACTTTTTGACCTGAAAAGGTAGCAAAAGTTCAGTGCACTAACTCACTGTCATGTAAAATGCACACAGACATTACTGACCAGTTCTGACTTTTGAACCATAAAGGAGGTACTAGAGCACCACAGTGGTTGTGGCACAACTTGCAAATAGCATGGAAGGATTGGGCCAGGGTAGCAATCTCTTCACGTAGCAAAATGTCCTGTCCTCAGGTTCACACATGAACTTACGAAGACTTAGGATTTATTATTTCCTGAAAAAAAAAAAAAAAAACTAAGCAGAAGAATAAAAGATACTGTAATTATAGCTGTTATAGCAAGTCCCAAGCAGTTGGGAAGCGTAGAGAAGCTGTTGTGATTCCTGTTTATGAAGCAGCAGTTGGAAGGAGGATTTACACAATGGGCTTAGCTCCACAGAGGAACTCTAAGGGCTGTACATCTACACCATATTCATATTCCCCCCAAAGATGTACAGGTAATGGGTCCCCAGCTATTTGGGCAGACTGCTGGGAGAGATTTCTGCACGTTGCTGTGAGGTTTTTGCTGTGACATACGCCATGAACGTGTAAAACACAGCTGTGTAGAGAAAGGGAAGATGTCTGCAGCTGACTGTGCAGTGCGTGTGTCTTTGCAGCCGCTGAAGATGCACTGCAAGAGCTGTGCGCTGGTCACCAGCTCGGGGCACCTCCTGGGGAGCAGGCAAGGGCACAGAATCGACGAGAGCGAGTGTGTCATACGCATGAACGACGCGCCCACCCGCGGCTACGGCAAAGACGTGGGGAACAAAACCAGCCTGCGAGTCATCGCGCACTCCAGCATTCAGAGGATTCTACGAAATCGCAACGAACTCTTGAATATGAGTCATGGTGCTGTGTTCATCTTCTGGGGCCCGAGCAGCTACATGAGGAGAGATGGCAAAGGCTTGGTGTACAATAACCTGCAGCTGATGAACCAGATACTGCCTCAGTTAAAAGTGTATATGATTTCTCGCCACAAGATGCTTCAGTTTGATGACCTTTTTAAACGGGAGACCGGAAAAGACAGGTGAGAACTTACATGGATACACCTAGGGAATGTCACAGAGTAGTAAAATAATGCAGTTTATATATACCAATTTCAGATCTGCTCAGAGGGACAATCCTACCCATTAAATCCTTTGCCTCATGAGTCGTAATGTGGCATGACACGCCAAATAACATCACTGGTAACATAAGTAAAAAATACGCATCAAAATGATTTGTATGGAGTACTGCCTCATCAGTCTAGAATACCAGAGTCTGGATGTAATGTTTATAGACTCGAGGAGGCAGGAACTGTTTAAATCTCACTTTGGGGTAATATACATTAAACTTTTTTTCACTGACACTGAAAAATTAGAATGGATAGGTTATGTTTTCTTATAGAGGAAATGCCACCATTCAGTGAATTATAATAGCTGTTTATTGAATTTAAGCATTTTTGGAACATTGCAGCTGTAAAGCTTCTTGTAAAACAAATAAACATTAGTCATACATTAGGTGCTTCGGAACAGTTCATCTTACATTTGCAACTGAAAAATGGAAAGTTATTATGATAGTTACATCTTTATGAGACTGTTTATGAGACTTGTAGGCTGATCTTCAAATCGAATTTGTAGTAAGTGACCCACTGCAGTACTTGAGTATTTTCCACATATGATGTTTGAAAATAGGCATTCAAACTAAAGACTTCCCAGCACTAAAGACATTTATTTTTAATGAAGTTCTGTTTTTTTACTTATTAAATATGCTGCTGTAAAAATGGCACAGCATCCCCACTTAGACACAAATGAAGAGGTAGTTTTATTGTGCAGTAACTCACAGTCAGATGTGCTACCTTACAAATAGAAAACATACACACCAAAGTTTGAACAGGGAACAATCCTGTTGTGGACTTGAGCACAGATTTCATTTTCTGGGCTACATGAGAAAGGCAGAACCAATGTTAGAGGAAGCTCTTGTATCCTCTTAGCTGAAGGCAATGTTAGCTTGGCATTTGCTGCCTTTGTCACACCCCACATGGTTTGCTTGCAGAGCTCTGGTCAGTTGTAGTGGATCTGAGTTCATGGCTGACTCAGGCACATACCAGAGCACAGAGTAACTTGGTCAGTTTTGTAACATTAAAAGTTCTTCTCTTTGTCTTCCAATTGGTGTATTTGGGTCTCTGCCAGAACAAGAAGGAAGGATAACAAGGGGAGATACCCTGCGAGTTGTGATATGTTTGTCTTTTCCAGAGGAAAGCAAAGTGAGAAGGTGAATTCAGCACTTGAGCCCTTCGAGAAATGTGCAGAGGGTTACTGTGTGCTCAGTATTTACAAAGGCATGAAAGTCTATAAATTGCACTGTAACCTGGCCACCACGAGGCCCAGGGGGAGGCCCTGGACACAAGGACTGCACACTGCCACCTCCTTTCCTGGACTGTGCTTTTGGTGATCCAGGATCACGTGCTGTCCCCAGTTCTGAGGAACAGTTTCCCTTCCTGCTTCACTCTCAGAGCTTCAGTTCTGCCATGGGGAGCCAGGGTCCCCTTCCTTCCCTGACATTGCCAGGATCCTGTTCTTTTCTTGACACATGCTGTGCAATTTCAGGCAAGCTGCTCTTTCTGGTTCTGCATCACCCATCCAGAGCCAGAGGCCTGTAGTGAGTGTGATGAAAGCATTTCTTCTTCTGCACAGGCACCAGACTCACATCCTGAAATATTCTCGAGGCATTTGAGCCATTAATGATATTGTAACAAGTTTATAGTGAACTCAGTCATGGGCACTCTGAACTCCCAGTGTGAATCAAGGGCACTCAGATGCCAGCAGAAGTCAGCCTGAGGAACCACCCTGTTGATTTTAATAAACTGCAGGCTCTGCTCTGAATGAACCACTCCTTTAGAGGACACAGACAGCATACTTGAAGGGCTAAGAAGATTAAAACAGGAGATGAAAATAAATGAATAAGCTGCACAGAAGAAATGGAAAATGAAAAGAAACTTGGGTAGGAAATAATTTGTAAGGGAAAAACTTCAGGTACCTGTGGGGGCAGGAGCAGAACATTGTATAGCCCAGACTGCTGCTGTTCCCTGGGGAGTTCTGCTGAGCACTTGACATTAGTGCCTACAAAAAACAAAGGAGGGAGGGAGAAGCATGATTGCAAGGCTGCAAGAATCAAGACTATTCATTTCCATCTTGAAAATGATGAGAAGAAAGGTAATTGGATGTATTGTGTCTTTTGGAAAAAAATTATTTTGAAATTAACAAAAACCTTCAGAAAACATTACCAGTTAAATAGCATGGTGAAAGACAAAGGCTGCAGAGTAGTATATTTGGCATTACAAAGCGACTGTACTTGAAAATAACTTTATAATTGAATAAGGGTACATTAAGAAAATACGATTCAGAACCAATATTATAGTAATTAGATAAAAGCAGCATAAATGAAATAACTGCAGGAAGAGTATTTCCAAAGAGATTATAAATGAGATTCTGGTGGAGCAGAAAGGCCTTTAATTGTAATTTAGTGTGCACTACAGAATTATCAGCACAGTGTGTTAGTTCATCATATAAAAGAATATCTGATAATTTCCCCTAATAAGCACATGACAGTTCTTCATATTCTCTCATTACTGCTGATTGGGTATAAAAACAGTATTCTTTTGTTGGACTCTTCTCAGATCTTTTATGACATGCAAGACACTCTAACCCTGTTTCTGTCTTGCTGTCCTACAGACATGGTATTTAAAGGGGGCAGAGTGGTACTTGAATGAATTTTTGAATCTTTATTTGATTATCCAGCTTCTAAGCCAGTTTAATTATATTCAGTTTTTCTCCTGTTTTTGAAAACACTAAATGACAGCCTAAGTGTCTGTAAACAGAAAGAAAGCTAACCCAGCAGAGAGCCTAGCTGGCTGTTCTGACCTGTGCAAAGCTTTGGTCGTGTCTGGCTGCAATTGCGCCCTCGGTTTTGGAGTTTAAGTGTTGGGCACCTGGAACAGTCCACTTGTGCAAGCTCCAAAGCACTCTTAGCCTGAACATGTTCCTGAATTATCTAGTGATTCAGTGCTCAGAAACTCTCAGGTGGCAGAGAAGCAAATTTTTTTAGGCTTTTCCCTACCATTCTCTTTCCTAATAATTTTGAGCCAAAAATTTTCACTGTTTTTTATTGTTGCTGTGCCTGAAGGCCTCCACTGAGCTTATGACCCAGCTTTGACATTGTGACAAACTACTACCCCAAAGCTTCAGTGCACAGTCAGAAAATAAATAAGGCCCCATAATTGGAAATAATGAGATGCTTATAACATGTCATTCTCCAAATGCTAGCTTAGCTTGAAAGTCTTGTGTGTCAGGAGCAGTAGAAATGTGTATTTCAGGAGTTTATATATTACCAGGTGATCCACTAAGGACAGGACAAATTACCTAGACTACTCAGCATCCTCCAGGCATATTTAATCAAAGAATTCCCTTAAGTTTAGAAGTGTCTTTTAAGCAGCTGGCACAGATACCACCACTTTTGGTTTTCGTGTTTTGTTTTGTTTTGGTTTTTGTTGTAGTAGTCTGATTCCCTGAGGAAATGGGAAACTTTGGTACAAGGCATTCCTCAATCTGACAGTGCTCAAAACATCTCCTCCTACTGCTTTGTAGGTGACCTACTTGGAACCAGCTTGTTTAGCATTAGCTTGGGAAGCTGGTGGCTCTTGTCAGCTGAATTAGATGTTAGTGATAGCTGGCACTTGCTTGCAGTGGCTTTTGTGGCCTCAGGTCCCTGCTTCCAAGACTGTTCCACATCCTGCTATCACTGGGTAAACTGTAAAAGATGGCCTTGGAACTTGGGCCAGGACCTGGGATTCCCTGGTGACTTCTCTGACGAGACCCTTGTGTTTTCTGCTGTGCTTTTTTGGGGGGCTGTGACAAAGTTTCACAGGCATCTGGCAGATACAGGTGTGGAAAAAGAATTGGAATTAATGTAGCTCCAACATTAATACATTCAGGTAGAGTGCCCAGGCCTTCCCAGAGTCTGCACCTGCTCCCCTGGTGCCTCAGCTTTAGCAGGAGATGCTGTCTGTGACAGGCTGTCAGCAGGGATCTGAGGACTCTTTGGGCTGCAGATAACACAAGCTTGAACTTCTTCCTGTGGGACTTTCCTAGCTGGGTGAGGAGCCATTAGGCACAATTCTGTCTTATTCTTTAATAGCATTTGAAAAGAGACCTCTGAGTGAACCTTTGCAGATACGAACCTGTGATACAGCAAAATTTAAACGCAACTTGTAAATCCCTTACATCTGTGAGAAGTTACAGGGTGGTATTTCCTACTTTGCCTAATTAATACTGGGATCAGTTGAGCTTCTTTTAAAGCCATGTCCCAGCCTGCAGTGAAGGCAGGAGAGGTGCTGCCTTAAGGACTCCCTGCCAGCTGTCATTGCCATTGTCAGGCTCCCCTTGGGCAGGGATGGCAGCGGGGCTGGTTCCTAGGATGAAGATTTCCCAGGCTGGCTATGGGACACTCATAGCTGCAACCAAGTAAAGGGTTTCTACCAGCAGTCACAGTGAGGGGCTGGGAGCTTCTAGAAACCCGATCAAAAGGTCAGCTAAATATTATGTTGCTGTGCCTAAAATTAATTACAGCGAGGAAAGTTTCCGCCCAGATTACTCCACTGACAGGACACCAGAAAAATCATTAAAAGATGGATGAGCAGAGTAGTCTTGGTTGCCCAGTTTTCAAAGCCTTTTACAAGAATGAAGAAAATGCCGAGAAATTGCTTCACAATCAATGGATAAATAAATAAATAAATAAATAAATAAATGTCAAGAATTATTTGCCAGCTTAGAAACTTAATTATGTTTTTGCTTTCAGGAAGATATCCAACACTTGGCTTAGCACGGGCTGGTTCACAATGACTATCGCATTAGAGCTCTGTGACAGGATAAATGTTTATGGCATGGTGCCACCGGATTTCTGCAGGTAGGATTTATTTTGGAACCATTATTAGCCAACAAAGTTAATGTTACAGATAAATATCTGAATCTTTTAATCTTTTTCCTCTGCAACAAGTCTTCAGTCCTCTTAAAGCAATTAATTAAGATGTCCCATGATCTCATTCTGAAAACAACAAACAGCATTTAATTATTTTGTATAAAATACTTTAAAATTTTGTCTGTACTGTGGGAGAATTAATGCATCTTGTTGCTTTCTTTAGTCTCTGAATATTTATCAGCTAAAAGTAATGCAATAATTGGCATGAAATTAATCTGAAGAAAGAAGTACTGGAAAACATTACTTTTAATTTGTTTTTCAAATTCCCCCCAGATTAATAGAGGAACAGTGTTCTCACAGTGACTAGTTTCTAAATTGAACTTTCTGTGCAACTCAAATTAACATTATTGTACCTCTGTCCCATGAATGCTTTTCCAGCCCCGTTCTGCCTCCAGCCATGGCCAGGACCCAGACCCCAGGTCCTGGTTAAGCTTTTCCCACTGTGGATCAGTGACACAGGGAGAGTCTTCAGAACTTCTAGTGCTAGACCAAAATTACATTAGCCACAAGATACCGATATGGTTACAGACAAATTTGTATTACATCAGCAACCTTGATGCTGACATAGGTCTCAGCTGCCCACACAGCACTAGCCCAGCACTGAGTGGTTCCTGCCCCAGCCAGTGCTGATCCCATTTGTCCTGCTGGGTGACCTGGGAAGAGCTGGAGGCAGTCTGGAACGAGGCCTCAGTGCAACGTTTCATCACCTGCTCACAAACCCCTCTCACCAAGAAGTACTTGCTTAAATTTTCTATTGCAAATGTAGTGATCTGTCTCAAGTCTGGTTGACTGGGTAATTCGAGATTCCTTTCAGGGGCAGGGAGGGCAAGGCTGCAGTGCTGGGTTAATCTCAAAGAATGGGACTGCTTTGACTTTCCTCTGAGCACTTAAAAGGATCCTTCAGGAATCTGCATTTTTCTTGGGCACGTTGTAGAAATCCCCAAAGAAATCACAGCATAAAATGTCAACACTAAACTCCACTTTGTGAGAATTTTTACAAATTATAACAAAATACTGATGATAAATGCTGTGATGTACTGCCGACTTCATCATGAATTCTCCAAGGAAAATAGCAAACTAGATCAGATATACCAGACAACACAAATACCTTCCACAGCACAGCATCTCATTCCTCTGTCATCTCATTTGGCAACACATACTACTTCAGTTTCTGTAAGTGGCTGGTCTGTCTTACTCCAGAAGTGGCTGAACTCCCATGGCACATGGAAGTAATTCTTCAAATGATTATCTAAAAATACAGAAGACAGCATTTCACTGCAAAATAATTTGTAATCCTAACTTTTCAGAAAAAGTCAGAATAGTTTACATACATATTTAAAAAAGCCAGCTAAACACAAACAAACTGTTTTGAGAGAGACTAGAAATGTCACTGAGAGCTTATGAAAGGCTTTCATAGAATCAATACACTGAAATCAAATGGACTTAAATTATGACTCAAGAAAGGCTGTAGATCAGTCCTAGCAGTGAAAGATGTAATTGTTCTTACAGCCTGCATAAAAAAAATCTTAACATAAAGGTATGCACAACCTGGTTGTAAAAAGGGAAAAGGTCAGTCATATGAAATGTCTTTACTTCAGCTTGATTCCCCAGGTGATAAAGGGAAAAACTTCAGTTGCCATGCCTGGAAGAAGCTGTCCATGAAGATCTGTGAAAGGAGTTTCTTGCCATAAATAGAGTTAACCTTCTTAGCTGGCTCTTCAGCCACTCATTAAGAAATTAAAACAACACTTTCTTTCAGAGGAGTTAGACAACAGAACAGAATAGCAGAAAGAAATATTCTGTAATTGCAAGCCATATTTCCTGGTTTTCCGTCAGATAGAATAAGAATCTACCATTAAAATAAAAAAATATATAAAAAAAAGTCCCAACAAAACAGCTAAAATGTGTGTGTGCTAGATGGTGTGATTATCCTACTTGCTGTGCAACTAAAGAATCATTAAAATTGAAAAAAAATAAATCTTATTTCTGTTCATAATTAATATCACCAAATGTATAACTTCAGCAGATTCATTTTTAAGTATTAATTTGTGGAATAAGTAATGCATGTGGTGATCACTGTAATGGAACTAAATTAGTGTCACATCTGTAACGTGAAGGACACCTCAGAGGTGTCAGAAATCTCATGCTGTTGATTCTGCTCAAATTATTAGCTTAAGATCATTAACCAAAGTGCTTTGCACCCATGCAGGAAAAATAGTCTAGTGAAGGAGTCTGGAGCACAGACTAAAGGATTTATCACTATTACTAGCAACAAGGTGTTTTAGATTCATTTCTATTTACTTTCACTGGACACTGAGTTCATAGCTGAGATGGACTTGATGTCCTAATAATTACAAATTTGCAGTACTTTACAGCAAAGCTATAAGTAATTTCAAACCCCTTTCCTTGCTACAGATTTATGCTGTAGGAGGGGTTAATGGCTTGATATTGCTCTCATGCTGTCTTGTGCATTCTGCAATAAGATGAGAGCTTGTGCTTCCATGCACATTGCAAACATTTTTGTAAAGTGTGCACACCTTTCACTCTTTTGTCCCAAGACAGACAAGCCATCTTGCTGTAATCTTTCCAGTGCCCAGGGATCCAGTCCAAGCCTTTCCCAAATGGGAAGCACATCCCTCTCAGAACTCCCTGTGACAGTCCTGCATGCGCAGCACTCACTCCTGAACTGGGACATGCTGGATTCTCCTCTTGCCTCCCTTCAGCAGCAGCCTGACAGTGGTGCCCAGATACCACAACAATTCCTGAAGGCACTGCAGTGCTGCTGCTTCCCTTTGTGGGTGCTCAGCAGCAGGGCTGGGAAGGACAAGACAAGCCTTAGTGAGTTTGTAGGAATTCCAGCCCCTGTCCATGGCATTATGGGCTGCAGGGACAGAAAGGCTGGTTCCCTGCAGGTCTCAGGGTACTCCTGTACACAAGGAAAAGTCAAGGGGTTAGTGAGATGAACCCTCTCTAGCTCTTCTCCTCTTCATGGGCCTTCTGGAACACCCAGAAACTTAATTCTGAGCCTTATTTTAACTAATATGAATAATTTTTGTTCCAGTTATTGAACCAGATAATTTTCCTATAAGAATCCTCATTTGACTGCCAGGTCATTTTCCATGATAATTCACCTGAAAATTGGTATTTGAAATACTTTAGTGTTTTCTTACCTCTCTCTCTTTCTCCACTTTCAGTTCCTTTGAATCAAATGCAAAGCAGCAGTTGTTGCTGGTTACATTTCCCGGAGCTTATGAGAAACTGTAAGCTGTATGTGAGCTATTTGGTCCATATGCCTCTTCTCATTAGCTTAATAACAAAATGCATACATGGCTTGGAAAACAAGACTAATTATGGAGGTCAGGGAAAGGAGATCTTGGGAATAGTAGGCAAAAGATTATCTACAAATCTTCATGGTCCTGACACAGCACCTTGCCCCTTATTCAACATATAAATGACACTTTACTCACACATCAAAATATGAATTATTTTACAAAGTGTGTGAGTACCTATAGTTTTAGAGGGTTGATTTATTATAGCTCTTCATTTCTAAGGAAAGAGACTGACCAGAATGTGGTATGGGGTGACCTGGTTTCCCTGCCTTTTTTCTTTTGTGCTGTTCCTCCAGCTCTTGCTGTAGGTGGATACCATCTGTGGGAAAATGTGCACTCAAGTGGCAAACAGTAGCTGACTGACAGGGGTACAAGCACTTCCATGGGTGCTGTGCTGGCGGGTGATCAGGCAGGGAGCACAGGATATTTTACAGAGGAACTTCCCGAGATTCCTCCCAGCTGTTCTATTAATATGCATGCAGAGCCTGACAAAATACTGATTAATGTCCAGTATCAGTCAGTGATAAAACAGCATCTGTTTTAATGCTAATAAATGAGGTGGCAAGCAATTTCCGTATAGAAATTACTCATGCATTTCATTTGCTGGTGACACAAGCTAATTGCAGAGCTAGAAGATAACACAGCACAGTTAATTTGGGTTATAGTGTACTCAAGCTGGAATTCAAACCCAAAGCTTACTAGCATGCAATCTGGGGAAATCCAGAACTCCCATAAAATGAGAAGGTCCTCCAGTATGTAAATACCCTTCAGAATTCCAAATCTGAAATTGGAATTTAGCTGTAAAAGCTCAGTCAGCTGCAGAGCAGTCCTAGAGAGGTCTGTAGGCAGCAGCCCCCATTCCTGCCCTGTTCTCACCCCAGTTCAGCCAGAGCTGCACACAAGGCTTGAGCCCACAGCCTGCCTGCATGGAGCTCCTCCTCTCTCACCTGTGCACCAGGTGCTTCTGGGCTGCTTCTGGTGGCACGGTGCACAGGATGCAGGGAGCTGCTGCAGCCTGGCAGGACCTAAGGACGTCCACCTAGGACACACTGGTGTCAGTTCAGAGCCTTCCGTGGAATGTGGAATCCCTGGCTTCAAAAACACCTTGCCTGGAGGGACCTGCAGCCTCACAGGCTCTGCATTTTTCCCAAGTCTGTTGGAGATACGATTTCAACTTTACTAAGCCTTACTTTAAAGCAGTAAATTTATACCAAGCAATACAGGTTGAGGACTCAAGAATAAAATCCAGGTTTAGTGCAAGAAGGATGAGCAGTCTGAATGAGAGGCAGAGGCCTATTTGTTTAGTAGTTCTTAACAAAAGTACATCACATGAAAATGTATCCTGTTAGATTTATAGTAACCATACAAATGATTCATTTAAGTGATAATAAGAGGTCCAATGTATCAAAAAAGTGAAAAATTAATTGAAGATTGAGCTCTAATAGTTGTAGTTTAGAAATAATAAATTTCTACATGAAGGGCAGCTTTAGATTACAAATACATTTTATGTAGGTGAGGTGATGAAGGATTTTGTTTCATTCTTATGCATTCCAGTGAGAATATATTTAATAAGTTTAGAATCCATCTTATTCTAGAAATGTAATTTTATTGTTGTTCTGGTCTTGTAAGATTGATCACCATTTTGTGTTACAAGGAAGCCAGACTGATCGAATTAAAACGTTAATCTAAGGCACAAATGGAAAGCAGCAGCAATATCATACATTACCTCTGCATATACAATATGGATAATAGCAAAATAAGAAAAATTAGAAAATTGCGTAGGTGACAGAATTACACAGTAAAAATAATGACCAGCACAGACTACTGACAGATTGTGGATGCATTCAATTGAAAGTGACCTTAAATATTAGCTCTTCAAAATGAAAATAATCAACTGTATATTAGAGCTGACAGCCCTGAATCCGTATCAGATTTCTTGCTCTGTGCTAGGGTCCTGTTCAGCTCAGGGTGTAACACAGAGCAGCTCCAAGGCTTCACTAAATGCTAATACTGGGAAATTTTCTGCCACAGAAAAATAGCTGGTAGCAATTAGGGAGAGAGGGACACAGTTGGGTAATTCTGTCTGGGACAGCTTGCTGCTCTCTTAGTATTTATGACACAGAGAGTGTGTGAGTTCCTGTCAGCCCAAAATGTCCATGCCCAAAGAAAAAAACCATAATAGATACAGGTTAATGTAGAGATTAAAACAAAAGGAGAATGAATTGCTCTGGTTTATTATAATACAGATGTGCCATTTACAGAATGTTACATGGAAACACTGAGGTCAGAACTGCTAAAGTGAACTTTATCCTAAGTATCTAATTGGTGTTTGGCATATCCAATGTGTCACCACGAGTCACTCATTTCCCGCTGGGAAATGTGAATGGGTTCACAAGGTCAGATGGATACTATGGGTGAACTGTTTTAATTTTTAGCTTAGATACATGAAAGCTGCTGTTGTAAAATAAAGAACTCATTAGACATTTGATTAAAATGCCAGCAATAGCAGCCTTTACCACTGACCTGGTGTGCAGGCATTCATTGAAGTTGTGCTCTCGGAACCTGGCACAGCATGCTGGGAACTTTCAGCTGAGCTGATGTGACACAGATAACCACCTCTGTCTATCATCTTCTTTCTTCCCCAGTTCAGTAAATACCTCTGAAAGACCTTTAACAAATCACAATCTAGATTTAAATCTCTTTTAAGCAGTTTACTTCAAATTTCATAGTAGTAACTCAGCCCTGCGGCACTCTTCCTTGTTTCTGAGCTACTGCTGTCTTTCATTTAACTGGGAGAATTAAAGGAGAGCAAAACAAAAAGTAAAGAAAACACCTTTGCCCCATTCTGATCTATTAGATATTCAAGAAAAAAACCCAGCTACATAGTTTAACTGGGACAAAAAGTGGATTTGAGCCCATCAGTTCATTAAAGATAGCATCTTTTCAATCAGCGAGAAAGAACATCTTGGGCTTCCATCTATTTTCTTTTTTTCCACAGGGATCCTAATCATCTTTCAGTACCTTATCACTACTACGAACCTCTGGGTCCGGACGAGTGCACCATGTACATTTCCCACGAGCGGGGCCGCAAGGGCAGCCACCACCGCTTCATCACCGAGAAGCGCGTCTTCGAGAACTGGGCACGGACATTCGACATCCGCTTCTTCCAGCCCGACTGGAAACCAGAGCCGCTCGCTGGGACCCGCCCCGCGGGCAGCCCGCTGGCCTGAGGGACAGACGGACACACGAGCCAGCCACGGCCACCTCCCGCAGCGCCTCTGGAGCCTTCGGAGCCCGTGGGCCGGCGCGGCAGCCCCGAGGAGAAGGGGTACAGGGCGAGCCGGCAGCAGGCAGGAGTTTGGCACGGAGGAGCAGCACACACCCCGAGCACTTCTGCTGAACTGTATCAACCCAGTCTGTCACCTTTTGGGGCCATCCGACGTCCTGTGTGTGTTCGTGATTCGTGAAACGCAACCCGAGTGTCATTAAGGGACCGTTAATTAATTCATCATGGCTTTTTTAAGTACGACGCCACTGAATTTTCATAGTGAAAACTTCCCGTATTTATTTAATGAAGGTTTTTATGCAACCTAGGCCAGTATTTTTCTAATTCACAGTTATGTGGTTATCTTTCATAATCTTTTAAATCCAAAATTAATATTGCTGATGGTTTGAAAGGCCTAGCTTTTTATTTATAAAACTTGTTTGAAATATATAATTCTATATGGCATGTAATTAATATTTGATCTGGAAATGTTGGATTTCTTCTAAGAATTTCGGGCTCTGTTCCAGCCTAAAGCCTTTAACAGCAAGAGCGGTCCCATGTGCAGATCCAGCTCACTTTACATTCTAACATCCTATGTTAATATGAAAATGGTAGTGAAAATTCTGTTTGATATTAATGTGCATTTGCTGCTGTGCTATCGAGCTGCTCTTTTTTAAATAGGGGTGGGAGGAAGGAGGGCAAATAAAATCTATCCAAAAAAGCCAAACCCCCCCCACTGGCCGTGGCAGCAGCTTCTCAGTGAAGACAAGCTAAGGCTGGAGGGGTTTTGTTCTGTTTTGCCTCTGGTATTCCCACAAAAGGCTGCCAGCAAACCTCCTGAGGAAACAGACTACGAACCAGGCCACAGCTGCTCAGCACAATGTGACCAAATTTCTGGAATGAAGAAGGTAAACTACCAGTACTACAATACAGTCATAGCAGCCAGAAAGATCACAGCAGCACACCTGCAAAAATATCTTCCTTCCACTGTCCCAAGATCATCACTGATCTCAGAGATTCTGGATCACACTGAAGTTGGGATGTGAAAAGCATTCCATGAGTATAAAATTGTCCTCCTGAAAGGAACAAAGTTAAGCTCTGCTTTTTTTCCATGAAGTACCTGTATGCGTGGTGAGTCCCTGCAAGACAAAGGGGAAGGACAATGCTCATGCTGTGTTTGGAGCCTCACAGTGGGAATTACTGGGTTACATGGGGCTTGTGAATAAAGAAGATTTCAGTTACAGTATTACTTTTGCTTCATAAATATCAAATCTCAATTTTTTTTAAGTAATCAGTAACTATTGCATGAAGCGTATCTCAGGTGATGAAAGGTGTCTCTCATTAGACAAGTACAAAAGCTAGAACAAAGATACTACCTTTAAACATCTAAATGCAAGAAGCTGAACCTCAGAGGTGAGACACAGAACTGGGACCAAACACTCTTATTTAAACCCCCTTATAACCCACGGTCTTCCTCTTTCCAAAACTGAATAGCAATAGCTGCAGCTGCCCCAGATACCCTGACTCTCTGGGGACAAAGTGAACTGTCCTGGGAGGGGCAAACTGGTGTCACCTCTGTAACACTGCCTGGACCTGAAGTGTAAGTCTCCAAGAGCCACTGTCCTGCTGCAGCCTTGCCAATATCGAAAAGTAAGAATCTATAATGTATTTTGCCTTAAAAGCTTTATTTTGCTGTTCTTCCTGGTACACACCACTCAGCTTACAAACTGAATGCCAAGTGCATGTTACCTTTCTCTTGACAGCTGGTGTTTACCTCTCCTTCTTTCACTGATGGTGTTTTATTCCTTCCACTTGATTTCACTGCATTCTAGAAAAAACAGAATGGGTTTTGAACTAATGGCAGTTTGGACATCGCTTTGAACATGTGTACTGGGGTGTGTGTCCAGCATATATTGCTGCAATTGATGAAATCCATCAAACTGATTTACAGATCATTTCTAATGTGACTGCAAGACATGGTACACATCACAGTAGGTCCTCTGATGCTTCTGTCCTTGTTTTATTACTGATACAATAATAAAAAGATCTTGTCATTTTAAATTAGAGCTCTTAGTTTTTCCATCAGTCAAGGACTGCAGGATGTGTATGCTATATGATTAGTTATGTTACTGTCAAAATCAGATCATTTAACTATAGAGTACACTGGTCTACTTCTAGCATTCTGTAGAAACACAGAGATTTGCCAGACCCCATTGTGATCCACAGGCTTGTTCCCTGTCTGCAGGACTGCTCAGTGTCAAGTAGATATGGGGAAGCATTAAGGATATGAAGAAACACAGAATAAACTGTAAGGACACTAAATCTCCTAAGAGAGCCAAGCTAAGCACTGTAACTCATTCCTTGTTCAGTTTCTCTTAATAATTCTGTGTTCTTGCTACCCTCACACACATCTTTTAAACAAAACAAACCCAAACTCACTTCAGTCTCATCAACATCCTGTGAAGTTTCAGCAAGGTCCCCCATCTAATTACAAAAGTTATGAAGGAGTAGTTTCTAAGTCACACCTGTATATATAAAAAGGAATTTGATGAAGCCAAGGAGACAGCAAGTTTTAAATAGATCACACAGATTTACATGGAACATAAATTGAGTCAAGAAAGCACAAGTTATAAGAGTGCAAAAGAAATGTAAATAACTGTTAAAGCACTGACATTTTAATTAACAAATCACTGATGTAATTCTCTATAAATGCACAATTTTGAACTACAGGGTCCTGCTGCATTTCAGCCTGATGTAAGGTTTTATGGCCTAGTTATAAACCAAACAGATTTATGACAGAAAATGCTGTAAGCCTTGGGATAAGTAGCATAAACTAGGTATTGCTGCCATTCTCTGCTTTATGCTGTCCTCTCACACTCTTCACTATAATTTGATTAATTCATGATCTGCAGCATATCATTTCACTTATTAAAAGCTGTTGCAAAACAGTGCTTACAGATATCAGCAATTTCAAGATCTGTTAGTTTAGTTCTGAACTACTTGCATACTTTTAGGCTTTTACACTTGCCTTTGTCAGGAGATAATTTTTCGTCTTTAAGAACTGTAGCTCTTACACCATGATATGTGCAACTGGAGTTGAGAATGATAAAGAAAACATCTCTGCAACTAAGAACAAAAAAGTTCTACAGCTGCTTTGTGTTATGTTGGCTCAATGGTGACAGCACTATGGTACAAAGAAAACTGTGATGCATGTAGAGAAACCTTCCACCCAAAGTGCTACAGACCTCAGAAAGTTAACACTATTCTCCATAAGGAAAATGAAGAAAGAGGAGGTTAAGAAATTAAGATCAAGTTACAGCCTTGGAACAAGATTTGGGAGAGGTTGGGAGCTGCTGACTGGCTCAATCCAGCAGAACACACAGTGGTACTGCCATGTCCATCCACACAGGACAGTAAAATAATAAAATCCTTCTGGAGCTGCTTCCCTGGGACTTGCCCTGCTGTATTTTCCAGGCACTTAGTTTTCAAAGAAAACTAAGTGATTTTTACCCAAAATACCTCTAAGGTTGCAAGGAAACAGTAAGATAAAAATAGCTGGAAAAGCATTAGGGAATGGGGTAAGGGGAATCTAAACAGAAAGGAATAAAACGTGCTTTGTGCCATCTAGCTTTATTCCCTTGGAATGTGAAGATCAAACTCAGGCTGTAGCTGACAGAGAGGAATGTCCTGGCTCAACAGCAATGGCTGTCTTGCATAGATTCCTTTGCAGTATTCTCTAAGTTGGTAATAAATGCCACAGAAACTGTTAAAAAAATGCTGATAATTATTTCTGTAATGAAAGGTAATTATTTAATCTGATGCAAAGAGACATAATTTCTAATTAAATTTAAAATATAGCTTAGGGATTAAAAAATAATAAGCAGTTAAACAATCAAAGAGTACTTGTAAGGCAGCAAAAGGTACTGCAAAATAAAAGGAAGTACAGAAATCTTACAGGTACCAGTACTTCTGTCTTCCCTGGACTACCAGTTCATACTGATCACTTTGAATTTCCAGCTGCCTGCTGTAAAGGCACACCATGCGTATAACAAGCATATGATTTTGTAAGGAGAAATAAAAAAATTTAAGCACAATCTTGTTTAATAAAAAACTAGGAAATACTCTTTTAAAAACCCTTGGAAATATGAAAGTGCAAATGTCTAAGGTGGTGTGAAATTTCTCTGTGCTGAAGCAGAAAATATAAAATTCAAAGACTTTTATAAAATGACTGTCAAATGGCACTGCTTATGCTAAATACCCTTAAAACCACAGACTGTTAAATGTTGTTCACACTGAAAATTACACCAAAACATGAAATGTCAGATGATGTCCTTTGACCACCATGTGGATGGGGATTCAGCGTCACAGCAGAAGCAAAGCTGGTGATTTCACCTGGGCCAGCTGTGGAACAGACTCCGCAGCAGAGGCAGAGTGGAACCAGGCCCTGAGCCAGCATCCCCTGGGTGCTGAGCCCCCCCAGGGGTGCCAGGGGAGAGCACATGGCTGCTCAGCACTGCCAGGAGGAAGGGACACCTCCCTGTGTCCTGCCACACCAGAGAAGCTGCACTGAGATGACCAACACAGTGTCCCTGTCTGCTGTGGAATGCTCTGACCAGGAGTTGTCAGGAAAACAACAGACAGGAAAACCAGACAACCCCAGCAATCCAGGCAAACAGATGGAAACCTGTGAGAACAAAATCAGGAGTCACAAAGAAGATAGATTGGCTAAGATGTAATGCAGCTTTTGTAAGCAAAACCCTGCCTTGCAAATCTGTTTCATGTTCTTCGAGGTTCTCTGAAGCAAGGGGACAAAGAGATCCAAGTGATGGATCCACTTGGAATTCACAACTAGGTTTGCAAAAGACTTCAAAAGAAGTTACAGTTAAAACAGATAAAAAAGGAAAGATCCTCACCCTATGGAACCTATCTGAACATAGGAAAATAAGGCTAAGATGATACAGCATCATCTTAAGGATACAAGCAGAATTCCACAGGAAAAATGTACAGAATATTTTCCTCTATTTTTCTGTGTTATTCCCTTGGTATCTACCATAGGCCATTTCTACATGC